AATAAACATTAGAAAGAAAGAAAGAAAGAAAGAAAGAAAGAAAGAAAGAAAGAAGAAAAGAGAACCGTGTAATGAAAAGAACAAAATTATAGAACTGGAGGGATCCTAGAATATCTTGGAAATACGATTGTCATAACCATAAATGTTACACCTTATGATAGAGACTACCATTTATCAAATGTTTACTATCACCAGGCATTGGGTCAAATACTTGATCTGCATTATCTTTACTGCTAAGTGAGATATACACTGGCAACCCTATTTTGCAGATAAGAAAACACACCCAGAAGAATTAAGTAATTGCAGAGGATCACAAACAGCTAAATAAGTGATGGAGATGGATCCAAACTCAAGTCTACTTGACTCCAAAGTGTGTGCTCTTAACTACGAAGGTAATAGAAATAATAATAATTATTATTATATTTTATAATTATATAATGTTATATTATTATATATATTATATAATTAAATATACTTATAATTATATAATAATTGCTTATAATTATATAACATTATTATAATAGTTATAATTAGATTATATTATAATTCTTATAATTATATATTGTGATTGATTATAATTATGCAATAACATTATTATCATATACTGCTCGAAGTGCTTTAAATCTTATAACTTATAGGTATTATTACTATCCCCATTTTACAGGTGAAGAAAATATTGCCTTTTGTAGTATTGCTTAAGCTCACATCACTGATACGACAGGTTTTCAACACAACATATGTTGGATGTTAAGACCTAGAAAATGGGGTTCCTTTTTGTTTTTTAAAATGTTTATTTTTGAGAGAGAGAGACCGAGAGAGAATGTGAGCAGGGGGAAGGCAAAGAGAGCAGCTGTCAGCACAGAGCCTGATATGGGGCTCGAACTCATGAACCATGAGATCATGACCTGAGTTGATATCAAGAGCCGGTCGCTCAACCAACTGAGCCACCCAGGTGCCCCAAAAATGTTTTATTTCATAACGTTGTGAGATTTTTTTCAATGTCTATCCAATGCATTAAGGTGTTGGGGGAAAGGATGTGAAAAGATACTGTCTATAAGTGAAGCAAGCATGGTCAGAACAGGGATCGTACTGAGGGAGGAAAGCCCTCCATGCCACAAGGAATCCTGTTTAGTTATCCTTCCGGCTGGTCTTTTGCATCCCTTTCTGTTTGGTTCTCTCTAGCAGACGGGTTAACAAGTTGACTTCCATCAGGTATTGTGGAGCGAGGTTAAGTACTCTGGCTTCAGCATTAAGAAGACCTCGATATCTGCCAATACTTTCTGAGCTTCAGTTTCCTCATCTGTAAAATGGATTGCTATGGTACCTAATTTAATAGAACTGTGAGTTTTACTTTATTTATCTATTTATTTGTCTGTTTGTTTGTTTGTTTATAATTAGGCTCCATGCCCAGCGTGGAGCCCAATGTGAGGCTTGAACTCATAATCAATCCTGAGATCAAGACCTGAGCTGAGATCGAGTCGGACACTTAACCGACTGAGCCACCCAGGTGCCCCGTGTCGTGAGTTTTAAGTGAAACAATTTGTAGGAAGTACCAAGCATACTGGCGGGCATCCCCACGTTATTTAACATCTAAACATCTAAACTCTTGGGGTGCTGGGAGTGGGTAGCAGCAGTTCTGCGGATGGCTTCATAGGCCAGTCCGAGGAATGGCGGGAGAGTGAAAGCAACCCTGGTGTCTGGCAGTGGGTCCTGACAGCAACCATGAGTCAGCCCCAGGTGCCGAGGGACCAGCAGTGTTCTCAGCACTGCTGGGCGTGGGCTACGGTCACTTGGCCATGGTCCTCTTCAGTCATGCTGTCTGAATGTCGTTCTTGTAAATCTGGTCTGGGTTTTCTTTTATTATTTTTTTTCTTTTCAGAAAAACAGCCTCCACCATGTGATGTCATAGTCCAGCCTGGGTCAGGGAAGGGAGGGAGGAGGAGGTTGTGCATATGTAGTTGGGTAAAGCAAGATCTTCTTATTTCTGGAGGGGTCTATCTGGCCCTGAAAGAAACTCTCTATCCTTCTCCCCTCTTTTCAATCCCCATTTTCAAGACCCAGGAAGAAATCAATATTCAGATGTAGAGGGAGAGGGAGGTGGTAAATCATAGTGGTTAAGACATGAAGCTTAGCATCAAGCAGTCCTGGGTTCAAATCCTGACTGCCAGTTACTACCTTTGGGGCCTTGGGCACACCATCCCTGTGTCTCCATTTTACCCGCAGACAAGATAATTCTAATGTTATGGTGGTAAGTTTTAAGAAATACTTGCAAAGCACTCAGCATATGTGTCAGAGAACACACTATGCATCACATAGTAATTGTTCAACAATTGGTGGTTACATTAAGTCCCCAGCAGTTGATGAGGAATATGGCCTGACCATTTTCTCTGCTTTTTCTAACTTGAGAGCCAAAGTTTGCTCCAATAACCATTTTCCCTCTGAGAGATGGCCGCACTCACACTGAGTGTTCCGTCATACTGGAGCTGAGGAGATGTGGAGAGATGGAGTTGTGCCCCTACACCTTTGTCTTCCCTCCCATAGCTAGCTGTCTCCCCAGCTGCAGCTCTTCTGGTTCTCTCTGCTGCCTCCCTGCCCTTGAAAGAAATCTGTCTCCTCTCTCCAGCTTGGAAGGATCAGCCCCTCCCAGCCAGGACTTCTGGCTCCCCTGACCCTGAGTCTCCCACACATCCTCTCCTGAGCTCTGCTCTTTATTTTGCAGACAGCTGGAGAAGAGGCCAGCATATGTGAATGTCTACATGGTAGAGATGCTGATCCCAGGATGCTCTTTCATTGTGTAGGAGGCCCCCAGTGCTTTTTACTCTACACTATGTTGTTCTCAGTTTGTGTGTAGGGGGAAGGGGAAAGATCAGAAATGGCACTCCTTTTAAGGATCGAGTCACCTCTCTTCTTGTTTCAGACAGGATGTCCCTTCCCCTGTAATAAGAAGGGAAATTTACATGGATCCCTACCAAGGAAAAGTCAATCTAGCTTGGGGCCATAAATCTCAGGTTAACGTCCAGCTGGACCAGAACTAGATCCCTCTCTTCCCAAGCAGTAGGAGTGGGCGTGGAATAGGGACAAAGGACTAAGGAAGTGTGGAGGAAACAAAGACCAGACTCCACTGGATATGAGACAAAAAGACTGCAGATAATATTATACTACAGTTAAAAGAAAAGAGGCACATCTATATATGCTATTGTGAAAAGAAGCTCAAAACATGATATTAAGTAAAAAAAAAAGTTATCGAACAACAGAGATATTAAATCCCATTTATGTTTTTCTTTAAATCCAAAATATATAGGGAAGTGAGAAAGCAATGAGGATATAAAGTTTTGTGTTTAAATATTTTGCAGTGAGTATATACCTGTCCATTACCTGCTATTAAAAAGTATATTTTTGGGGCGCCTGGGTGGCTCAGTCAGTTAAGTGTTAAGACTTTGACTCAGGTGCTAACAGCTCAGAGCTTGGAGCCTTCAGATTCTGTGTCTCCCTCTATCTGCCCCTCCCCTGCTCATGGTCTCTCTCTCCTCTCTGTCGCTCTTTCAAAATAAATAAACATTAAAATTTTAAGTATATTTTTATAGCAAAAAGTATGTATTTTAAGGCAGCAGTAGGATTTGAAAGGGAAGGGAAGAGGGTGCCCAGGGGTGGAATATAGGACTTGCATAAAAGAACCAGCTTCTGTCCCTAATGAAGCCCTTCTCTGTCCCCTCCTTGCAGAACATGGGACTATCTTCTATGGCACGGTGAGGTCTCTGGTCCTCTTTTAGTCCCAAAGGACCCCAATACCAGACCCCCCAGTTACCAGGATGCCCCCAGGGGCCAATGAAACAGCCAAATATCCAACCAGTAAGGACAAGTGGGAAGAGGAAAATCAGGAGGCCGGAAAACTCTCAGATTCTCCAATGGGAAGGTTAGACTCCCAAGTTCAGGAATGACTACAACAAACTCCCCTTTGCAGGTCTCCACATCATGCTGCAAACTGAACCCCAGCTCCAGGCCAAAGATAACATTTTCTACTGAGTCACCTATATTTTCCCTTTTGATTCTAAGGTCATTTTATATATGAAAGTGTTGAGTTTCAGAGATATGAAATGACCTGCCCAAGATTACACAGCAACAGAGAGGCAGAGCTTGCCTTTAGAATCCCAACCAATGCTCGTTTGTTTGTTTCTTTTTATCAAACGATACCATACTGCCCTATTTACCCCAGCATTTGCTTTTGTCAACTTCAATCTTGACCCCCCAACCCCAGTCCTAATTCGCTGTGGGCTCAGGTGTTTCTGGCCCCAGCCCAGTGGAAATGACTCGTTTTGTTTTCTGTCCCTCCATGCTTCCCCTTCCCATCTTATCATCCAGAAATCTCTCTCTTGCTCATGTTTCCTTCTTGAAAAGGGCAGTCATGGGTGGGAGGAAATGGATGGATTTGGTCCCTGGCCTGAAGTGGCTCTGAGGCTGTGTGGCTGTTTTCTGCACATTGCAGAAGATGACAATCACCAGGAGGGCTTTCAGGCTCCTGCCAAGTGAGCCACCTCCTTTCTTCTTTTGGATGCCTTACACCAAGGCAACCTCTTGACCCTAGTGATGGAGGAGGGCAACAGGCTTTTAGTGGCCATAATTCAAGAGCCCGAGACCCTGAGATGAAGATTTGAAGAGATATCATGAAAGATAATTTGTGGTGGGCAGAAATCAGTAAACTGGGACAAGAGCAGCAGCTGAGTCCAGGGGTCAGCGTCTGGGAGTAATTTAGGAAAGTTCAGTGCTGACAGCTGTGTCTGGAGTTGAACATCAGGGCCAAACCAGCTCCTGGGTTGCTCGGCTGCTTCAGGCTAATGAAGCTCTGGCTCGGGACCCAGAGACAGCTGTGGTGTGGCAGAAGTCAGGGCCCTTGGGGCCCCAGGCTCAGCCTTGCTGCTTCCTGGCAGTGTGACCTTAGGCAAGTCCTTAGGAAAGAAGGAAAGGAAACATCCACTGAATGAGCGCCATGCCCTTTCACATACCTCGTCCTCAGTACAGTTTATCCAGGAGGATGATGTCCTTATCTTACATGAGAAGAAGCGATATCCTCAAGGTAACTGAGGTCATTCTGGGCTATCTGGCTGGGGAGAGGGAAGACAGAAGTACCAGTCAAAGCTTCTGAACTCAAGTTCTGGGCTCTTTTCCCTGAGTGTTAGCTCCTTTCCCTGTAAAACAGGGACAATAATGTACCCACCTTGTGAATGCAGTCACCTATAGTAGGTTCTAAATAAAGCTTCCCTTTTCACAACCTTGGTCTTGAAGAGTTGTGGCCACTTTCTTCCTGGGAATGGAGTAATTTTTTATTTTTGCCCCTCCCCCAATCCAGTTTATGGCACCTTCTTCCTGGGAATGAAGTAATCTTACTTTTGCCCTTCCCCCCAATCAGATGTGTGGATCCAGGCCCCAGGAGGTGCCTCGGAAGAGAGGGTATTTGGACTTCGGTTTCCCCTCTGCCCCTGTCCGCAGGCCTTCTGACTCTAGAGAGCTGGCTCCCTCATCTCCTTCTCCCCTGTTTTGGCAGGCGGGTTGACATCAGTGGGTGTTCCCAGGGAAGGGGAAGCTCCAGCGCCCATTCCCCCACGGCCCAGCACAGCCCCAACCCTCTTCCTTAGATACTGCGGCGTGGAGAGGCCCTCTGAGCTCCTAGCCCCTTTCTTCCGCAGGTCCGCGATAGCAGCACGCTAACCCCCTTCCTTGCCAGCGCAGCGAAAGAGAAGGGGGCGACTAGGGTTCCGGCAGCGGATGCTCAGGGACCCGGGCGAGTCCTTGGGCGCCACGAGGCTCAGCCCAGGAAATGCGTCCCAGTTCTGGGGTTACGAGGGGAGCTGTCCAGCCCCGCAGGGTGAGCTAGAAGAAAGGGTGGGCCAACGCCGACCCGCCGGAGGGAGCGGCGGGCGCCAGGCCCGGGTGGGGCAGCGACTCCCCCTCCAGCCCGCCGGCCCCGGGCGTCGCCCCCGCCCCCCACGTGGCCGCAGCCGTCCCAGCCCCTGCGAGGAAGCGGCGCGGCTTCCTGGGGCTTGGGCCGGGGATATAGGCGCCCCCGCCCGGGCCCGGCTCAGCGCCACCGCCCCTCCTCGCCTGCTAGCCGCGCGATGGCCTCGCTCCGGGCAGAGCGCGCCGCCGGCGGCCCGCAGCTCCCTGCGACTCGCGCGGGGCGCCTGGCAGCGCTCCGCCTCCTCCTCTTGCTGGGCGGTGAGCGCTGCGCCCCGGGGCCCGGGCGGGAGGCGCGGGAGGCCCGGAGGGGAGGGGGGCTGGACCTCCGAGGCCGAAACGGGTCCCGGGGTGCGGGCGGGACGGCGCTGTCCTCGGGCAGTACCCGGCTCCACCTCGGTGTAGGCGCAGCGCGAGCTGTTTCCCACTTGGAGGAACATTGGGGTGCCTGGGGCCCCGCGGAGAGGTCTTGGGAGGTCGGGGGCTGGCCCGGACGAAGAGGATTTGGGGTCTGGATGTGAATGGGAGGGAGCTGATATCAGCCCTCTCTTCCAGTCGCCGAGGCACCCGTTGGGAGCCTGGATTTTTCCTCTTTCTCTTCTGAGAGTAGCTCTGACTTCCAAGGGTCTCAGACCCCTCCTCCAGGCTCCACCGCCTAGATCCCCGCCATCCTCCTTCCCTCCCCCATTTCTGCTCACAGCTGTCCTGAAGCCCCAGGAGTCCCTGGCTCAGCTTCTTCCCACTGAAGGCAGCTTGAAGTCAGAAGGTGTGTACCGCGCGACTCTGGGAAGGTGGCCGAGGGCAACGAGGAGAGCTATGTCAGTGGGGAGGGTCCCTTTCCCACGAGGCAGGCCCAACCCCAACTGAAATCTCACTAAACTCCCTTCTGTTCTCTCCTGGGGTTCCTTGTGGCCTTTCTCCCTCTCATCCCACAAACCCCCCACCCAGCTCTGAGCTGACTCACCTCACAGGTGGGTTAGAAGACCCCAGAAAAAAAAGTATGGGGATGGCCCATCAGGCTGGGAAGTGTTGTGCACATGGAAGGCATTAACATTTTTCTGAGCTGAGACTCTCTCCTTGGAAAACTTTGCGAGGCTGTTCCTGGTGGCCGCCATGTCTGAAGACAGGAACTATGGAATTATCTGGACCTGAGTGCTTGGAGGGAGGGGCAGGGGTGTGGTCAGTGTGCAGCATCTGTACCCACAGAGAACAAGATGGAGCACTATAAGAAGACAACCCAGTTATGCTGGCAATCTTATAAGGAGCAGATGGACTCTATCCCCAAGGATTGGTGCGACTGGACCATGATTAGCAGGTAGAGGCAGTGCCAAGGCAGCTCGGACCAGGGGTGGTGGGGCCTGGTCTTTGTGTGCAGGCCTTGAGTGCGGGGCATCCCTCTCTCTGGGCCCAACCGCATACTCACTCTAGCCTTCCCTTGTCTCCAGGCCTTATAGCGACCTGCAATATTGCTTGGAGCATTTAGCAGAAGAATTTGGCCTGGGCTTCCCCAATCCCTTGGCAGAAGAGATCATCTTTGAGACTCACCAGATCCACTTTGCCAACTGCTCCTTGATGCAGCCCACCTTATCAGACCCTCCAGAGGATGTGCTCCTGGCCATGATCATAGCCCCTATCTGCCTCATCCCCTTCCTCGTCACCCTTGTGGTGTGGAGAAGTAAAGACAGCGAGGCCCAGGCCTAGGGTGGTATGAGCTCTTCTTAGCAGCCTTACTCCTTATTCTTACTCCTTTCCCCTTTCACCACCAGGTCTCTCTCTTCCCCTCCCTGTCTCCTTCTCTCCCTCCCACCCCCACCACAGACCCTTGGACTGCTGGAAATGGAAGTCCAGTGGTGGCACAAGTTTTGTAATCTTCAAAATAAAACCTTTTTTTTTTTTTTTTTTGGTACTGTCCCCTCCCCATCCAAGGGTCTCTACCCACAGGGCTGGAAGTTCTGGATAGCAGCACTGTTTTGTTCACTTGCCCGCTCCTCACTATTCCTCTCCCCCTACTTGAAGGCCACCCCCTGCACTGCTTCCTCCCAGGGCTGGGCCTTTCCTGTCCTTATCCAAAACCAACACCAGGAAACCTGCAGGAAGAGACTCCCTTCCGGTTTGGACAGCAGCTGGGGAGGTGTGGGGGAAGGGGCAAGGGTGGAATCTCTGCTGTGACTCCTGCAAGAAGGAAGGGGGACAGCGTAGAGACTCTGATTTTTCCTCTTTTCCATGCCTCAGTTTACTCCCAGGGCCTAGGAATAGAAACCTTGATATGACCAAAAAGAGTTAATCCCTGAGGAGCTCAGGATTGAAGGGAAAGGCAGTGGGGACTTATTCTACTAAGTCCATCACAGAACTCCTTGTCCAGGTCCCTGGCCCTCATCCTACATTGTCCTGGACCCTGGGGGTGTGGCCTACAGCCTGGCAGCACACTGCCCCCTGGTGTCCACAACCAGAAGATGGAGATGACCTGAAAGAAGCTCCAGGCTGAGATTGGACCCTGCAATCAGACATCTGTTGTCTCCATAGCAACCACTAGTTCTTAGTGGACTCTTCTATCAGCTTCCTAAGCTTTGCTGATACTCCTCTAAGACACCTTCCACTTTCTAGGGACATACTTAGCCTTTGAACTCACCATGTCTACATATGAACACTTACATGTTCCCTGGACAGCGAGGCCCAGTTTTCACGAGAGGACCTTCACCTCCAGTTCTTCCAGATCATCAAAAATACTAGAGAACAAGGGCACCTTAATGGCTCAGTCGGTTAAGAGCCCGACTTCGGCTCAGGTCATGATGTCACGGTTCGTGGGTTTGAGCCGCGCATCGGGCTGTGTGCTGACAGCTAGCTCAGAGCCTGGAGCCTGCTTTGGATTGTGTGTCCTCTCTCTGCCTCTGCCCTGCTTGCGCTCTGTTTGTCTTTCTCTCAAAAACAAATAAACATTTAAAAAAAATACTAGAGAACAACTTTGTTCTCCATAAAGACACCTGTTTATTCTTTGTGGTATGTGGAGCCTCTTTGGGGACTTTCCTTCCCTCCTCGCTGAATTCTTTGCTTCCCTGAGTACATGCATATCCATTTCCATGGCACATGCCTGTCTATTCCATAAATAGATACCTGTATGCTTCCTAGAATGTATCTATCTATTCATCCTCTGAGATAGACTTCTCTTCTCAGGATATGTCTGTCTCTCTAAGGGCATACCTGTTCCCTAGGACATTTTGGGTTTTCACTTGAGACAAATCTCTGCTCTGTTTCCATGAATGCATCGGTCTTCCCCAGGGATATATCTATCCTTTTCTTGGCCCATATTTGCCTGCCTGTGTTTCACTAATATACATCAAGGGCATGCTGGTATACTGATGATACTGTGTATGGTATATTGTGTTGGAAAGATAGGTTAGATAGGGCTTGGTTTCTGCTCTCAACGGCTTCCATCTAGTACAGGCGCTGGCATGTGCACCAATCAACAAAAGCAATGGAGTGTGTGATTAGAGTCATGCAGGGAATACAAACCAAATGTTATCTAAGTGCAAAAAAAGGAGGGGGTCACACCTAGCTCAGGTGTGATCACAGGAGGGTGATGGCAGGGTTTGTACATGACTAGGCCTTAACATGGAGTGCATTTCCCCTACGGAAGAGCATAGAAAAACAGGTGAATTAGGAAATCATTGTGATAATCCAGGCTTGTGAAAAAGAGGACATGGGCCAAAGGAGTGATGAATGAAGAAGTAGAAAATAAAAAGTAGAAGAGATGATTAAAAACAGGAGGGGGAAGGGGTACTTGGATGGCTCAGTTGGTTGAGCATCCGACTTCAGCTCAGGTCATGATCTCACGGTCCATGAGTTCGAACCTCGAGTTGGGCTCTGTGCTGAAAGCTCAGAGCCTGGAACCTGCTTCGGATTCTGGGTCTCCCTCATTCTCTACCTCTCCCCCGTTCACGCTCCATCTCCCTATCTCTCTCAAGAAATAAATTACAATTTTTTAAAAATTTAAAAAAAAAACAGGAGAGGGAATCAGCAGGACTCTGGATATGAAGAAGGAGAAAGAGAGGAGAGGTTAAAGCTGACTGAGGCTTTGAATCTGAGTTACTAGGACAATGATGGAAGTAATGATAGAAAATGGCCATTAGGGAGAGAAGCTGGCGTGAAGAAAGGGATTTACAATATAAGCTAAAACTGGAACAAGCTTTTAAGTCCCACAGAGAGTTAGAAATGGGAGGGGTGTTGGTGGTGGAAAATGATTGGAGCTGGAAATACAGATTTAGTAGTCTTTTGCACAGAAATGTCAAGTGAAACCAGGAGAAGGATGAAAGTTCTCAAGACAGAAGATGTATTGAAAAGAAAGCTGAAAAGGACCCTGGGTGGCTCAGTCGGTTCCACTTCCAACTTCGGCTTATGCTATGATCTTAATGTCCGTGAGTTCAAGTCCCAGGTAGGGATATACCTGTGTGAGGCTCTGTGCTGACAGCTCAGAGCCTGGAGCCTGCTTTGGATTCTGTGTCTCCCTCTCTCTCTGCCCTCCCTCACTCACACTCTGTCTCTCTCTATTGAAAATAAATAAACATTTAAAAAAGAAAAAAGAAAGCTGAGAGGGGCACCTGGGTGGCTTGGTCGGTTGAGTGTAGCTCAGGTCATGATCTAATGGCTCATGAGTTCAAGCTCCAAGTCCGGTTCTGCACTGACAGTTCAAAGCCTTCTTGGGATTTTCTCTCTCACTCTATCTCTGCCCCTCCCCTGCTCGCATGGCTCTCTCTCTCTCTCTCTCTCAAAATAAATAAAAGAAAAAGAGAAAAGGAAAAGAAAGGAAAGAAAGCTGAGGTTAGGTTCTTAGGAAACATGCACACCTATTTTGTTTTTTTAATGTTTATTTTTCAGAGAGAGAGAGACGGGGGGAGCAAGGGCACAAGCAGGGGAGGAGCAGAGAGAGAGAGAGGGAGACACAGAATCAGAAGCAGGCTCCATCCCCTGAACTGTCAGCATAGAGCCTCACACAGGGTTCAAATCCACAAACCGTGAGATCATGACCTGACCCAAAGTCGGACACTTAACCAACTGAGACACCCAGTCTCAGTTTCCATAAATGGAAACTTACACATTTAAAGAATAAGGGGGAAATGAGACAGAAAGATCAGAGAGACAGTAGCAGAGCAAGGATAAAGCAGTGCCATGGAAGCAAAGGAGATAGTGCCCTTTGAAAAAACATTGTCAACAGAACAGTTTATCCATTCATGCAACAAATTATTTGCTGGATACTACTGTGGATCAGGAACTGTGCACAATGAAGGATGGACTTGGGTGGGGAAAAGGTTAAAGACTGGATAGGAAACTGAAAGTGTGGCAGTCAAGGAAACTGTACATATTTTCAAATAGGGATGATCTGAGCATGTTTGTTAACTAGGGGAGAGAAGCCAGAGGAAAGGAAAAGAGGGTAGTTGATACCCAGAGAAGTCCTGGAGGCAGTTGGAAAAGAGGCAAGAAGATATGCCAAAGGTTGGCCTTGTAGAGCAAGAGTGACACTTCTTCCTTTGAGTCCAAAAGGAAGGAGTAAAAGTGGAGAGAAGTTCTTGTGGGATGCATCAAGTGTGGTGACAAAGAGAGAAAGATTAAGAGGTTCACATGTTTGGCCTCAAGTTCACAAAATAGAAGAGAAGGTCTTTCTGCAGAAAGAGGGAAGATGGAGACAGGTGGAATGACTTGACAAATAAAAAAATTTGAAGAATTACCTGGAGGGATGTGACAGGGAGTCAATAAAAGTGTTGGGCTAGTGAGGTTAGTCAGGGAATCTGGGGGTCAGTCAGCCAGCATGTTTTATGATTTTTTCCAGTAATCCAACTCGGCCTAGGAGTGAGGGAAAACAAGAGGATGGAGGTGGGGGCAGGGAGCAAGAACCCTGGTTTGGAAAGTGACCAGCAAAGAGACAGGCAAGGGGACAAGATTGGGTGGGCTGGGCTGGGTAAGGAGTCACATAAGACCACAGCGGGTCCGGAGTCTTGAGACTAAGAAGGTCAGGATGTGAGAGATAAATGGCTGTGGTCCAAAACGGCAGCTCTGAATCATGGAAGCCGACCGGTTTCCAGCAATAAAAGCTACAAATGTGCTCCCATGGGTGCTGTAGGAGACCAGGGAATGGTGGAATCGAAGGACACATTAACTGAGGAGACTGGGGAATTGTGAGTTGTTTACGTTAAATGCAACTGACACGTGTGTTAATATCAAAAGAAGCGTAGCAGAGTGGAAACAAACCAACCAGCTGTCCCGCTTTGAGGAAGTCACTGCCCTTCTCTAGAACTGAATGAGGGTTCTAGAGAACCCTCAGGGCTCTAAATCATAAGGATTTTCAGGTTCATAGCAAGAGACTGACAGAGAACCAAGATCCCTTCCGTTGGGCTGCCCTTCTCCGGAGAGGCCTCCGGAACCTTTCTGCTCTGCTTTCTGCCCGGACGTGCAGAAGCGGAGGCCGGAAGTCCTTTGCCCGGAGGTTCCGGGTTTCCTGGGCTACTACGATGGCGATGAGTTTCGAGTGGCCGTGGCAGTATCGCTTCCCGCCCTTCTTTACGTGAGGCTCAGACCCCGAGAAGCCCCGCTGTGCCTCCCTCCCCTGCCCCGGACCCCGGGCTCAGCCCTGCTTCTTCAAATGGGGAGGGGGAGAACGGATCCGGTCGCCACCACCCTTAGTCCCTCACTGTGTCCCCCAGATGCGCCTCCGGCTGTGCTGCCTCTCGCCCTCTCCCGCCCTCTAATTCTGCGCCCCACCCCCTTCACCCGGCAGGTTGCAGCCGAACGTGGACACTCGGCAGAAGCAGCTGGCCGCCTGGTGCTCGCTGGTCCTGTCCTTCTGCCGCCTGCACAAACAGTCCAGCATGACGGTGATGGAAGCGCAAGAGAGCCCGCTCTTCAACAAC